CGTATTAGCTTCGCGATGGTGGTTGGGTCAGTCAGGCGCTCAGACCCTTGAGCGGTGCGTCAGATCTCCTGGCAGTCGCGATGAGTGCGAGGCACCGCGTTGGATGTCCGTATACCTACATGTACGGTACGTACGCATTGAGATTCTCAGATTCCTGATTGAACCGCATGTGGAGTGTGCGCGACCTTTCATCGATCAAGCAAGCACACAAGCACGGTGGGTGCCTCGACCGCTTATTGCCAGAAAGACGAATTTCGAACTTTCGTAGCGAGCAGAAGCGTGCGTGCATCATCCCTCGGCCTCGTCTGCGGTGCACAGTATGCTACTCTGACTGCTGCTGTACAGCATTTGATTCTCACGGATCGCGGTCGTGGGAGCACTCCAGATGTCACTGAGCGTTCAGCGTTCAGCGTTCAGCGTTCAGCGTTCATTCGACTCGTGCAAGGGGCACAAGCGCATGAGATGCCGCGGCCGCGCTGGTTCAAGCAAATCTGAATCATACATCGTGAATGAATGATGCTGCTGGTTGCATGGTGCGTGTGCGTGCATGGTCGATGTACATAGCGTGGATTTGCCTGACTGGGCTGCAGCACGCACGTGCGCCACACTTTACTCTGACGTCACGCTAAGCTTTTTAGATCTGGCTCGGCCTCCCCAAAGCGTATGACGGCGCGCACCGATGTATACTCGTGACTGTACATGTATAGCGAGCATATTCACGACTCATGACTTCATTCGTAATTTGCTGATTACGATCACTTGATTCGCATTTACGCTTAGAGATTTGACCTGTTCATCGCGAAGCGCAGCTATAATCACGAATGTGGCGGGGCTTCGTGAAGCCACATCGTGAGTGCGGTGAATGAGTATACAAATGATGTATACATCCACATCGCACTATATACCGTACACAGCGCGCCAAGAGCTGCAAACCAGACTTTCTCAAGAGGCCAGTCTGATCCCTCAATTTCTTTAAGCACCACATTCACGAGCTCTGACGCCAGTCAGCCCCGTGGTTGTCTGGATCATGGACTTGCACAAGCCTGTGCCACTCTTGAGACTTGCTCCATAAGAGGTCAGATTCAAGCAAAATATGGACGACGAGGCTTCAGCCCTGGGCAAAGGTGACGTGTGCATGTAATCAAGGAAGTCTGGGAGGTGCTCAAACAAGGTACGAAATATTAAGCTGAGCTTACATTGGCCAAACAAAGGGAATTGGACATGAGGACGAAGAATGGAAGGGTGACGGGATCAAGAAACACCCTGAAAGGCATGAGCGCACATATCAGCTCAGAGCCTGGTAGTGCGCGAAAATCGTCAGTGTCAGCTACTGGCGCAGACCAAGGATGTGTTGACATCGGCAAAGGCGCAACACTCACAGCGACGAGAACAACAGCAACGACAATGCCCACAATGAGCAGCAGACAAGCCGCTCTCCTTCCCGCTTTCCTCTGATATTCGTGTGCCCTGACCAGCTCTCGATCAGCTCCTTCGGTATGCAGAGCGATCTGCGAAACATTATGTTCGATGTTGTCTATCATACCGCCCTGCTCTTGAACAATATGTCCCAGATCTCTAAAGATTTCGTTCAGCTCTTGGATACCTCCCTCGATCTCCTGAATCTCTGCTTCTCGCTCCGAGATCAGCGCCTCCTGAAATTCGAGGTCGGATTGCGTGGGACCAGCGTTGACTCGCACTTGTGCTTGCTCCTGCTCTTGTTGACCCTCGTCCATTTCAGCCGATGGATGATCGATCAGATCTCCTTCCGCAGAAGCCCCGCCAGTCGACTCCAGTGCACTGGCGACGAGTATGAAGGGCAGCCCGTCAGCATCGAGAGGCAACAGCAGGAGCTTGTCATGCTAAACCCTTACACTTGATTTTCGCTGGACTTGACATTGGAAGCAGACGACGTGGAGGCAGCAGCGCTTCTCCTCGCCCTTTCCTTGTCCAACGCAGTCCTAGTCACGTTGGCGCCTGCCCTCTGAGCTCTCTGAAAGTTCTTCAAGCCATTCTCGACATCCGTCCTCAGCTTGTTCGTCGTCATCTTGTGCTGAGATGATCCGCTCTTGCTGCTCAATGCCGAGAGGGTCTTCATGTCGCTCACGAGGGAGGTCGACACCGATCTCGTCGTATCGGTGAGATCAGCTCTGATTACCAGTTTGGCAAATGAGAATGGGTAATCAGCCACTCTGTCTTGAGTGCAGAGCAGACTCGCGAGCCTACAGCAAGCTGAGGAGGCATACTACGCTGAACGACCACACTCACACTTGCTTCGTCCAGTCTCTACCTTCTTTGCCCTGAGCCTTGCCCTGAGCTGCAACCTTGCCGCTTCCCGAGCTGAGCTCCACAAGCTTATCAATCGCGCTCACATTGGCATTCAACTTGAAGATCTGCACTCCCATTCTTTCCGCCAGCTTTTTGAATTCGGCCTCTTCATCTTGTGTCAGCTTCGCAGATCCTGCGCCAGAGTGTGAACTGTGAGGAGAGCTGGCACGATCGGAAGGAGGGGCATGGTACAGAGGCAAAGGGTTACCGGATGCTCGGTTGGATGATCGCCCTAGGCTGCCCCTGCTGCTGTTGTTATTCCGGGGCGATGGAGCTGTTCCCCGCTCCAGATCGTTGAACGACATGGCACGCTGGACAACTCTTGAGCCTCTTGTCCCCGCTTCTGTGCGAACTTTCTGAAGGAGTCGATGAGTATTCGGCGAGTGCGATATTGCGCGGTTCCCCTCAGAGAGTTCAGTCTCAAGGTTTGTAGCACAGCTTGCACTTGGTTGCTCACTTCAGATCGCGTACGTAAAGATGAAGGCGGTGGGTGTCTGCGGCTGTCGAGAAGAGATGAAAGTTCAAAGCTTCGAGCTGGCGTGCGCATGTGAATGGTGAATCGTGAATCGTGAATTACGAATGTATGCGCTGGATGGGCTGATCTGCTTGTTGCTGAGCGCGCCCGCGTTACCAGTGAGCCCAAACACAACCGTGACTCGTGACTTGCTGTGTATAGGAGCAGCAGCAGCACCGCCGCATATCGCACGGGGCAAAGCACGCGCTCTCGCATGCGCTCTGCGCTTTCATACTCGTGACTCATGACTGACATGCGCTTGACTCGACTCTTGACTCAACTCTTGACTCTTGCATTCGTGATTGTTGACTCACACGCGTTCACATTGACTCGATTGTGGCACATTTTCGATTGAAGCGTGCCAGATAACATCAAAACGACAAGTCTCATTCGCGCCGAGCCGCCGGCTCACGCTCATGTTAGAATCCAATTCGACAAGTGCACCATTCTCGAAGGCATTGCGCATTCATCCAGCCGTGTGTCGCACCGATCACCTCAAAGATGAGGCCTCAGCTGTGCGCAGTCACAAACTTGAGTGAGATGTAGAGGGTTTGGACGAATGCGCATCCTTCTGCCTGTTTGAAGAAGCTGTTTGTAGCTCCAGCGCGACGTTCTAGCAGTATCAGTGCGATGCAACTGTGGGCGTTCAGGAGGAAAGATGCTGGCAAAAGGCAGCTGTCAGATTCGACACCGCGCTCCGACAAGGACCAGAGCGGCCGCGAGGCCCTACTACCCTTCGGTGGCGACTCTCAAGATAACATGCTCTCATTTTGACTGAAATCCTCGCAAAACCGTTTCGCTCTGGACGTGTGACCAGCTTCCACCCTGTTCTTGGCCCTGAAAAATGTATCGCTGGTCAACCACAGCTATGAGCAAACAGTCGAGCGTGAAGGTGCGTCTCGGCCGCATGGCGAAATGCTCGGCATGCACAGAACATCATTGCTCGTGCCAACTTTACCTCCCTTCCATCCTCAGGCGTACACTTCGAAATGCTAGAACGCTGAGCAAACGATAAGAGCTCATAGGGTTGCATGCGAGTTCCTGCGCAGTACTTGTCAGATCTGGACCCCTTCAGGCCCCAAGTGACCGCACGTTGGTGAGCTGAACGATCGGGCCTTTGATCGTGTCACCTTTGACCGTCTTTCTCCAACAGAAGAGCTGCAATCCGTCACCCCGACGTTGCCTGGCCATGGCTGCCCAGCCCCGCAGTGTCGGTTGGCAAACCTAAGACTTCGCGCGCAGACCGGTGAGGTCGACTCGCCTGAAGGGCCGACTCGCACCAAGACCTTCGACATGTTTCGCACAAACGTGACATTACCACGTCTTGTGACAGAAGTTGCTCAGCTTCCGTATCCCCTTGACCGCGTACCAGCCTGGCTCGCTTCACTGGTCCTTGCCCGCCTTGCTCAACTTCAACTCGCTCATCTCCTTGTCCCTGATAGCCTTCTTCTCCAGCCTCTCCGCTCTCTCCAACCACCACTCCGTACCCTGCATCAGCAACACCCCCGCCAGCAGCACGATGATGATGGTGTTCGTAGCGCCTATGATTCTGAGCGCATCCACCCTCTCCGATGCGGTCAAGGGACCAGATGGGACCAACGTTGCGTCGAGCTGACCAGCTTCTGCTCTTGCAGCCAAAGTACTCCTTTGGGTAGCCAGCGAGGAGCGAGCAAGGAGAGCTTCGTTGTTGGGATCTGCCAGTAGTCTGATCGTTGGCATCGAGACGGTCAGGTACATGGACAGAGCACCGACGTACAGGACTGCGCAATGGGGGGCAGCAACAATCTCGTCATTAAAGCAACCAGCGCGTGACAGTGAAATTTACTTCGCTACACTAACCGATGGCAGCACCATCGAACCATTTGGCAATTTCCGTCCATCGATGCAGCTTGGCCAAAAGTCCAACAATTCCCAACCCAATCATTCCGTGTAGCAGAGCAGGCACGGCCGCGGGAGCTTTGAAAAGGCCCAAGTAGAAGAATTCCGCTCGGTCGGCTGCTTCGAGACCTTCTGTGGAGGAGAGACTGCTGCCGTACAAGAGGGGAAAGTCGTAGATGGATGCCATGTAGATGACTCCAAATTGGAAAGCTACGGCGCTTAGAACGAAACCTGTTCGGAACCCCATCTTGAGTAGGCAAGCGCGTGTGAGTAGCAGAGACGGGCTATTGGAGTGCGCCTTTGATGAGGGTGTGAGCGTGACACCAACGCTCCAAAGTTGCCGATCGACCGTTGTCGGTGCAAGCGAAAAGTGAAGGGTCGAAGATGATGGCGTTCTGAAGGATAAATTTAGTGACGACACACTTGCCTGTCTGAATCACAATCTTGATGAATGGATCGAGTCGAGCGTATCTTCCTGATGATAACGCGCGCACAGCATGCGCACGTTACGCACGCAATAAGCACACACGATGCAGTTGTTTGTCGGCCGATACAGCTTCGCTTCTTCTCAAAGCCGCATGTATGCACGCAGCGCGCTGCTTCTGATCGCCTGGGCCTGAATATCTGTGCTTCACATCGGTCATCCTCGCGCACTCAGCCTTCACTGAAGACTTCTGCCGATCAGAGCTTCTCATCCTGATCCACCTCTACAGGCGCACAGAGCCTGCACGATAAGCACTGGAAGCGGTGCCACCCAGCTGAAACGTAACACCCCTCATCGCTTGCATCTGTCTGGCCGGAGTGAGGCAGAAGCGTGCACTCGCCTTCCCACCATCATGTCAAGCACCATGACCTCCATCTCAGTGCCTGCAATTCGTTCGGCGCGAGCTTTGAAATCCACATTAGCTGCGTGTAACCACGTCGCTGCCAGCAGGCGCTTTTCTAATGCAGTCGCGGCGCGACGAGACGCAGTTGCAGATCAAGCCAGCAGTCGCAGTAGCAAGAATCAGGACATTCCCAATCCGGATCGGCCGCAGAGCAACAAGCAGCGTCCACCTCGTACCATTGAGCGGCACAGACCGGAAAACGTGGTCACATCCGCCTCTTCCCCTCCTCGAAAGCGCGGCGAAGACGTTTCTTCTTCTCCTACTTCTTCTGCCGGAGTTCCTTTCGTGCTTCCAAACACGGACTGGTGGAACTCGGCAAATACACGGCGGCCAGATCGACCTACGCTCCAATCGATCGAGGATAGACCCTGCCAAGCCGTACCTGCTCGACCAGCCGGCGCAGAGGGTACCATGCCCAAGCACAAAACTCTGCGAGATGCGAGTCAGAGTCTGCAAGTGCGCGTCAACTTTTCAGGCAAATCCGGTCCGAGAAGAGGTCACGGAGCGAAACCGATCGCTTATAATGGACCCTTGACATCCATTCAGGAGAGAAAAGAGATGGATTTAAGAGAACGAGTGGCGGGTGATGCGTCGCAGTACCAATCTTCTACATTGCTCAAGCCCAACGACACACAGGTCGTCAAGACGGCCGCGGATGCGCTCTCTACCGACTCGCACATGAAGCTGGAGCTGAAGTTTTGGACAGTCGATAAGATCAGGGAACTGCAAGACGCACAGGCTATTCAGGCTGCCAACGCCAAGTTGATCCATCAGCGAGAGACGAAAGAGGTCGAGGTGAAGAGCAGCCCTACCTCCGAACCTACCAAGGCGAAGGGCAAAGGAAAGGGAGGCAGAAAGTAGGCATCGATAGGACCACTAGCATTCGGCGCAAAACGCACAGCAATGTCCGTCAGGCAACGATTCGCGCGAGGGTTTGGGGATTTCATCAGGTCGCAACGGTCCATCCAGGGGCTGCATAGGACACCGACACCCCGCCCGCCCGTACGGTTATATGCACTCAAGACGATCATAGCACGGGATTTTCCCTGCCATGGCGTGCATCATAGCAACTGAGGTAGCTTGCATAGCTCCAGCTGAAATGAAGATGATGGTGCCACCATCGTTAGCGTCTTGCCTGGCATCTCTGCTGATCTCGCGGATGCTCACCTAAGATGTCTAGCGCCGCGCTGCTTGCCTGTGAAGCGTTCGATCTGCTCATCCATTCTTCCTTCGGCGAGCAAGACCTCTCTGCACCGCTCTAGCTGCTTATCTGCCAGCGCTCGTAGGCCTCGGATGGCATTTCGAAAGCCACTGCTGCCTTGCTCATGCTTGCCCACCTTGGCGTGAGGATCAAAGAGCTTGTAGAGAGGTAGAGAAATAGCAGTGATCTCGACGTGATGGATTGCCAGCCAGTGCGTGGCGGTGATGTAAAGCAGCTCCGCAGTTGCGTGCGTCGTGAGGAACCAAGGATGGCCGATGGACTGCTCCACACCATTGTACACATCTTCAGGATACCTGCCTACCAGGATACCATCCTCCAAGGAATATCCTTCGTTGATCTTGTACACACTCTGAAAAGCGATCAGAGCGCGATACAGTGTTGCTGCTGCGCGCTCGGACCACGGCGACCATACGTCGCTGTGATTGCCGACATAGTGACCGTCCCAGCTGTGATTGAAGGCGAGAATGCAGGCAATGTCTACCTCTGTTGGTTTTTGTTGACCGCCTTGCCTCAA